TCCACCTACATGTGATCTCTTAGAGTCCATACATAGTTCTTTTTTTAAGATGCAATTCTAGAACATATCATTGTGAAATGATAATATTACAAGTTTCAGCTGTCAGATGCTCTATTTCTATGCAAGTAAATCTTAAAAATTTGTACTACGATTGATTGCGTTAGATTCGGACACTGATAAAGTCCATGATGCATATATATGCATCGGTAATAGCCAAAGGGTTAAAATAAAAAAATGATTGATTCAATTCTAATCGATTTTGTAAACATGTGGTGCTATTGGAGACAATAAAATCAAGTTTGATTAATTGTTTTCCATGTTTAGTATTATCTTCATGAGTGAAATATCGGGCTAACTTTCATCAAACTCGCAAGCCTGTGCAAACTTCATCAGTTCTATTCAATCATTACTACTTATACTGACTCAAAATATTTCTATTTTTTCATATTGATGGAAATTTCTAATATATTCAATATATTTTCTCTTCAGAATCGATTGAAAGATTAATAGAAATCTTTTTTTTTGTGAATATTCTAGAGGCATGGGTTGTTCATTTTGAGAAAGAAATTCTTGATGAACTCGGTGAGTGGCATCAAAATGCATTTAAAGATCATAATGATGGTGGAAATGGATTATTTACTGATGTTATTACTTCAAACATAACAAAAGAACAAATGGAACAAGAATTATTAGATTTAATCAAACGACATTGTCCAGAAAAAGCATGTCCTCTAGCTGGTAGTTCAATTCATATCGATCGAGAAGTTATGAAAACACAAATGCCTACTGTTTACAATTATTTACATTATCGTGTTATTGATGTTAGTTCATTTCGTGAAATGATGAAAAGATGGGCACCATCGACAGCATCCCGATTTGTAAGAGAAATAGCAGCTAATGGAAAATGTGAAGTCACCCATAGAGCAATGGATGATATTGAATGGTCGATTGAGCTTATGAAAATGTTTCGACCATTATTGACAGCACGAAAGTAAGTTATCTTTTGATTGATATATTTTTATAAAATAATATATTTCATATTTTCAAGAAATACAGCAAATGAATCCAATACAAGCGATCGAAATCGTGGTACATTTGAAAGATCTATTATACAGAAGAATAAATTGCCAATAATTATTTCTCATATTGATCGATCAAAATTATATAGTGATGAAAAACAATTAATAAAACGATTAAATCATGAACAAAATTTTGATGTATATAGTTTAAAATTAAATAATAATGATCAACGTTTATACGATCAAAATCCACATCTAAGAGAAGTTTTTATTAATGGTGAAAAACTTTTAATTTATAATGAAGAATTTACCGATAAAAATCGTTTACTTGATTTATCTTCTAATGAATTTAATACTAAGAAATCGAATGTAGGAGAATTAGATACAACCGAATATTGGGGACAACGAAAATTACTCTTATCAGAAATAGAATTTTTAACAAGTTATGCTACAGACGATAACTGTTTGGTTGTGTATGTTGGTGCTGCACCCGGAGCACATTTAGATTATTTAAGCTCATTATTCCCTACACTTGAATTTGTTCTCATTGATATACAACCATTTGTTACATTTAAAAGTGATAAAATAAAAATTCAATCCGAATGTTTTACAGAAGATTTAGCAAAAACATTTTCAAAAGAAAATAAAAGTATTTTATTTATTTGTGATATTCATACTTTCAGCAATCATGATAATCTCAAAGAAGATATACATATAGATATTTCTAATCAAATAATATGGTGTTCAACAATAGATCCTCATGCTTCTTTATTAACATTTCGTCTACCAAATGCACCAGGTACAATTTTATTTTTCGAAGGTCATTTGTTATTAGACACATGGACATCAAGAAAAAGTATGGAGTGTCGTTTGATCGTTGAAAAAAATGCACAAATGAAAACATATGATCATGGAGATTTTGAAAGAGCTATGAATAATTTTCAGAATATAACGAGAACTATGTATTATACACATGCTTTTGATACTGTGGAAACTGAAGGACTCGATAATTGTTATGATTGTCGGTCAGAAATATTTATTTTAGAAAAATATCTTCACAAAATTAAGACATGTACTGATGAAAGCGAGTTAAAAAGGAAAATTGCTGAATTATCTTATGATATATCAAGAAATATAGGTGAAAAAAATAGATAACCAATTATAAATGGTATACGAACATTAAATATTATTCCAAAAAAGTGAAGAAAAAAAAATTTCCATTCAATTTTATGTTATTAGTTAAATAATATTTTTTTTTTGTAAACCAAATGAATCGATATTTTTTATGAATTTGTTGTAATTTATTCTGAAATATCATTCATGTAGGTGTCATTGGTCGCATTACAAATGAAGGAAATAATTAGTTTATAATTGATGAGTTCAACATTTTCTTTTGCAGACCATTTTTTACACAAAAGTACAAATTGTAAACTGAAATCGAGTAAATATCATAATCTAGGAGTTCAAATGCACGTCAAAATATGCATCGACTATCTTATCTATAAGTGCATTGTACCTTTGATAATTGCGATAAAAAAAACAATAAAAATATAGAAGTTATATTTCTCCTATATCTAGTAAACTAATTCAGTATTATAGAATGAAGTTTTCGGTTTCTAACAAATTTCAATAAAAAAAAAAAGCAAATCACTGGCAAAATATTAATTTTATTTTCCTTTATGACAAGCTGACATGCAATTCTTTAGATTCAAAATTTCAGAACTCCTCCTTGATAAACAAACTGTGAGAATTGAATTGTTTGATGTTCAGCTGGATTATAGTTTCATCACAAGTTACCATACATATGTACGTTGCATTGAATACTTAGAAGAGAATCACATGGGAGTAACCTGGTTTGAAACATTTTTTTGCATTACCGCATGTTAATAAAGAAATTAACCTTACTACATCAGAAATTTTTATGTTAAAATAAAACCATTGCAATAGTTAAGCTTTTGCCAACTTTTTATTTATTGCTGACAGAACTTATAAGATTATTACGTAATGTTGTTCTTATAAAATTTTGGCTCAAATTTAACATTGAAATAATAATAGTTAATGCACCAAGTAAACCCTTATTCAATGTATTACCATGTTCAAAACAAAAAAGAAACATACTGTCATCATCATTAGCTAGGTCAAGCAAACATGCTCGTCAACGACCGTAAATCCTTGTATTTTTAATCCTGCAGAGATTAGACGATAAGGTTTTTTTGAACTGTTTTACAAATGTACTCTTCAACTTTCAAATATTTGAGTGTATGAGGTTAAAGAGCATAAATAAGCACTAATAGTACCAGTGATGAATTTAAGTGGAATAACGAACATTTTGACGAAAAAAAAATACCATTGCATTGCCATCATTGTGAGCATCGGTTTTATGGAAAAATAGTTAGGTAATTTTTCTAGAAAACCAGATTAGATCACAACAAGATACAATGTATTAAAATGACATTACTTGAATCTTTGTACGCGTATGTGTATCAAGATTTTTTGGCATTGGACAATTGTCCAATAACCGTATGCCTGGCTACAACACTGCTGTGATTATTCGTTTATTGCTACATTCATTTTACTGAGTACGACACCTATGAAAAAGAAGGGAAAATGAAATAAATGCATAATTTTGTTGTTACACAATGTCACAACCAAACAAACACGTCTTTTACCTCCTTAATGAAAGTTGTTTATCTATTCGAGAATGAGAAAAGATGATATTATCTGCATCATCATCTCTTGTACACAATGACTCAGAATATTACTCACCATGTAATGTTGTTATTTATTATTGCACAACGACTACATGATGGCAGATGAAATAAACTATTGCTATTCTTTCTACTTCGTCTATTTATTTTGACTTCATCTATTCTAATACTATACGACAAGTAGGTATACCACTGAACTACATATACTTGTATTTATTTTACTGACTACCACTACTCACAATAATGACCGTCGAATGACCGATATCTATTTGCTTAGAAGGAAATGACCTTGAATTCTGTAGCATTGCAACAGTTAAGCAGATCATTGCTCCTTTCAGGAAGCAACAGTGAAGAAAGACTAATCATGCACTTAAGTCTATAAGAGAGAATGCGGAAGCATCTGATTTTGAGTTTACTGCTTTGTTTGGTATAGTCGAACTATACTGTTTCATTAAGGTATGTGTAATAAGGTATGTCTTTCTCTTTATAACGAAAAAGAAGGAATGTTCATGTTTCGGTATCACACAATTTCTGTGAATAATTATTTTACAGTCTCAGAAAACAAAAATGAAATTCGAAAGATTGATCATGATTATTGGAGGAGGATGGACTAGAATTGGAGCTGCTGGATCATTAGCTTACAACAGTTTTGATGATTATATTTTACTAGAGTACACAGACTATCTTTGACGTTTGTGAAAATATCATACGGATGATTCTGTACGAATGCACGATCTGAGTAGACGATATAAAATACTTCACGATTTTTTAAAAAAGTATAAAGATCATTTTCTTTTGTAATCTGAAGTACCGATGTATGGACAGGCTGTGGATGTAGCTGTAACTGTTCTGTTTACTCACATTCAAACTCGAAAAAATATTCTGCTTAAAAATTCTCTACACCATACAAATACACTTGATGAGAAGCATGTAAATCTTTTCGTTCTATATAATTTGTTGCAAGCAGGCATCTTTGTAATAGAAGTGTTTATAGTCAACATATTCTTCAAAATTGAATTTTTTAAATGATATGTTACTTAGATTCGTATGTATGGAACGAGAGTGCTGGTATGAGAATGATTCTTCAGTTCATCAACACTCACATCCATATTCACGTGCCTACGCCCATTCCTTTTCCTTTTCTTCGAGAGTTCAATCACGTTCATTTTTCCATTTCAACTTTTCGAACACCCAAAATAATCATCACCAGTGAATCTTCACATTTATCTTCTTTTCAATAAAGTTCGGCTTATTCATTCTAGTCTAGATTACAATGTTTCTACTCGATCAGTTTCCTATCGAATTACTTCACTCGATATTTGACTATCTCTTAACAAATGAAATATTATTTGCATTTGCTGACATAAGTGATTATGTGGATTCAGTCTTACTTGGCTACAAACGATATCATGTCAATTTACAATCTATTCGCAAATGTGATTTTGATCTTATTTGTCGAAAAATTCGCGCTCATCAAATTATACAACTCACTCTTTGTGATGATCGAGACACGACTAATCAATCACAATTGTTTATTCAAATGTTTCGTATCGAACAATTCATTCATTTACGACAAATTTCATTAATTCGTATCGACAAAGAATCATGGACAGTTTTATTGGAACAATTGAGTGAACTAAGCGATCAAATACCAATATTATATTTTGATACGACGCCACATATTAATATACAAATTCCGAATCTACTTCTTCCTCATATTAATCGATTGGTTACCTGCGATAGTGAAGATTTTTTCAATAAGATATCAACATATTCAACGTTGCGACATTTAACAATATCGAATTGTTCGCCGAAACAATTTCTCAAAATTGTTCATCAAGTGACTGAACTTCGTTCGTTAGAGATTAAGATCGAAAATGTATTCGGAGAATTTTATGATTTCGAGAAGATCGAATCATTGCAACTGGTTCGACTAAAAATTCATGTTTTCAGTAAGTCTTCCTTATCCAAAAATATTTTTTCATAGGAATTCTTTTCCAAAATAATATGTTCGTGTTCAATTTTGCTGTGTGTATAGATAATCCGCGAGAACTACCGCAAATCGAAAAGATCTTATTGAAGACACCACAGCTGAAGTATCTCGAAATTGATGCAAGATATTTAAGAATACCTATGAACGGAGATCAATGGGAAACATTGATTGAATCATTTTTACCTCGACTTAACACATTCAATTTTAGATTTAAACTCGATGAAGATCATTCATTGACATCTTTTCGTAGTCCATTTTGGCTAGAATACAAATGTTGGTTTGTGGCATATGATATTCGACAGTCAACTATTTATTCGGTACCTCGATTTGCTATTCATCGCATAGAATATCCTATGTCTGATTTTATACCTGATGATTCAACGATACCACGTACAACTTTATTCTATGATCAAATAAAACATTTGACACTATTTTGGCAAGGTTCTCTTTTCGATTTACGACCACCACCTGTTCCTTTTGCTCATGTTGAAACCTTTGAATTGGGAAAACGTATCGATACGAGTAAAGTATCAATATCTATTCTTGAATCTATTGTTAATTTTGCTTCAATTCAACGATTGAAAGTGTCTTTAGCTGAGTTCAAATGGCTTTTACCGCATATGCCTCAAGTTCATCATCTTACCCTCTATGGTCTAGAAAGTTTTTCCACTGATATTCAAACTACGACTGTTTTTCATCAAATTCGTTCACTGGACTTGTCATCTACATTTGTAAACCTTGGTGTCAAACGTTTGAATTTTCTTTTTCCTTCTGTGGAGAAATTACATATGGAAGTGCAATATGAAAGAGACATTATTGGGATGATTGATGGATTCCAGAAATTATCACATGTTAAAATCGAGTTAGCACCCATGATTGATCGGCAATATAAAAACATAATATCTAAGCAGTGGTTGGAACGGAATACTCGTCTAAGCAAATATAAATTTACATGTCGAATCGAAGCTCGATACACATTCTTATGGATTGGTGAAAAACATGAACAAAATGTGAGTGAATAACTTCCTGCTGTTTTTCTATTTTTCATTTGTACTCGTTCTACATAGCTGTCGAAGTCAACTACAAAAGCAATCTTTACACAATTTAAATGTTCGTTATCCTAAGTGTTCTTTGGCTTTGATGTGCTAGAGTTTGTAATTCATCGATTGCATATCTTGTTCAATTGGGACGAATATGCGTTCAGCACTCTGCGAGAAACCGATGCTTTTTTATCTGTTGTCACCGAATGCGAGTCATTTTTTGAACACTTTTTTTTGTGTTTCAATTCTTTGTTAAGATCATTTTTCTGAACATGTTTCTATTCAATTTGAGCGAGCAAATATGCAGTGTCATTCAGACTTTCAGCTACTTGATTTCGATTCGTTTCGAAAAAAGACGTAATACTGAAACCAAGTTCAAAATGTTGATAACGAACACTGATCTGAGTTAAGAAACTTCGCTTCGAATTTTGTGCACGTGTAGCTGTTGATGTGGGATAATGCTTCGTAATGTTGATGACTCGCTCGTCATATTGACAAATACATCGAAGCCAAAAGATGTGCTACTATTGCAGCTCGAGTGACCCTGCACAACGATCAATCATTTTGTGAGTGTGAGGGGTAAGCGTGTGAGTATGAATGAACTTTCTTTCGTCAACATCCACACCCTCCACGAAACAACAGCATCTATACAGCTAAGCAGCTAGAATGCATAAAAAGTCAGTAGCGAAGCAAAAGATCGCTTGCACTTCCGTTGATGTATATGTACAAGTAAAAAAAAGTTGTCACAGTAGTGTCCAGCTATTTTAAGCCTATTTTGCAAAAATATTCTCACTAACTTGATTTCAGTTTGCTGGAACCTTAGAACTTTAGTGCTATAAATATGTGATATGCATTGATAAGAGAGAAACATTCGTGGTGCATTCCATGTGCCAGTCCCCACAGTAAGGATGCCAGTCACGCTTTTTACGGAGAAACGTTTTTCATGATTTTTATTATGAGCATTTAACAATGAAACGATTTCTCTTATTAGAGAAGATCTACTTTAACGAAATGCTAAAAGAAAAATAATTTATTGCATAAAGTCTACATTAAAATTGAAGATCAAAAACTGACGATTACTGCCTATAAAGAAAAGACCTTTGAAAGTCTTCAATATCTATTATTTCGTTATATCTCGAGGTAAGGCAATTTTTAATCTAAATAAATGAATTCTAATAAGATTGGCCATTTGAGAATCTTAAGCAGAACCATTGTATAAAGTAGTCATTATTGATATATATATATATATATATATACAGCATTTCTATTCCATTATGTATCAAATAGGATATCGTTCTCGTGATTTTCTATTCTATATAACTTCGTTCCAGTATATTTCTGCCTCGTTCCTTACGTTGGTAGTCGACTACGACGTATTAAGTAGATATTTCGTCTTTAACGTTACTAGATACCGCTGTATAGGCTACAACACGATTGAAACGGGTAATTTATGTCTCATACACAGTTATTGTAATCATGAATCTATGCTTTGATTCATGTTGGAGATACATTTTTATAAAAATTACATCTTCAAACTCAGACAGTTTTCTATGATTCTGATATAAATATAAACACTAAATGAAAAGTTAATATGAGCTCTCGTGGTGAAGTGTTATATGCAATGAATGAAAAGAGATATTCATCAAGAGTACCCAGAGGTTCTATTGATTTTTGACATTTCGCTGTGACACTATCTGAAACGGTAGACTGATATAGTTGTTCATCATAATGAATCACTCAAATAACATCTCCGATTCAATGCAGAATGGAATGATACAGATATTAATATCAAGTAGTTATTATCTGAGAAATAGTGTAAGGATCTGTTAGTTTATGTGTTTAGAAAATAGTGATTGAAAGATGAGGAAACTATTTTTTCTTTACACGGTGTTAACCATTCTCATCATCAACACACGCTATTTCTGTAGATAAAGGTCATAAAATCGTCGAAAAGAACGAGAGAAAAAAGATACAAAGGGAAGGAGAGGATCACAAAAAAAATTGAAGCATAGACATACGTAAACATATAGGTCAATATGCGAATATATACTGAGCACGAATGTAAATATTCGTTGTCTTTCCTGAAACTAAGCTACAAGGACATCTTATGTTACTACATCGATTAGATATATATCAGAAAAGTTGTACGATAATTGCAAAAAAAATGCAACGCACTTATTAAGCGCTACTGGAGTATTCCATGTCGATGCAATAGGAACGTGAGAAATGCTTGCATCAAGCTCTAGATGCCTATGTAAGTATGATAATTACTTCATACGCAGACTCCCGATATCGTTCCTCGCTCTAATTTTCATTTGGTCTGTATACTGCGAACTGTTTTCGTTCTTATTTATTACTAATGAGCGATTCTTTAATGTTCATTTTGTTAGTTTAGACAACGCTTTATCGTTATCATTATTATTATAGACGCCTACCTATGTAACAACGGAATTCACTTTGCTTTGCTGCTTGTTGTTGCACCGATGACATTTTTCCTTAGAAATATGCCGCATATTTCTAAGGAAAAAACGATCATTAGTATTAGTAAAACCAATTGCACACACCATTTATTTTTAACATTAGATGTTGATTTAATGAATTATATAGGTTTTATATATCGAATTAACTTGAAATATTATTTCTTGGTTCTTTAATATATTATTCTTAGAATTCAGAATAATGAAAGTACCATCTCAATTATTTTCAAACCATCACAACAAAATACATGAAATTCGTCAATTTCGCTCAGTTTTTCAACTTTGGCATTGTTTTTTATTACATGTCAGTCATGTTCAGAAACAAAATGAAAAATGTGAATCGATTAGGATTACTATTATATTTACTCAAACATATGGCCCTTGTAAGTCTAGACGAAAATAGCACGATTGACGTAGTGTTCATAGTGAAGCTCTGCTTTTAATATCAACTCTTAAGACTAATAATGAGCTGCAAGTAGCTGAAAAAGCATGTAGTATTTAGTCTCTCGACATTTTATGTAATAAAAAAAGGTTCCGTATCGTGTTGTGTAGTAGTCCATGACATCAATTATAACTTATTCATTACGGCATCTACTAGACATCATTGGAAATATATTCATTTTCTAATCAGAAAAATGACATCCGCCCAATGAAAAATTAGCTTATGAGACATCACATATGCACGCATATATATATTAAGTTCTGACTATGCCAGAAAAATCTAAGTTGAACAAAGATCGAGAGTGATGATGTGAGTGTGGATGTTAGCCTTCGCTATATTCACACTCACAAATGACTACAAATCACGTTAGCATAGAAAAAGCAAATCAGTCAAGTAATGGTCAATAGCAGACGAAAAGGATCAATGTATGTCTACTGCAGACATCTATTAATTTTATTGCATTCTTTTGACGTTGTCTTGCCTTCCACTTTTTTGTCGACATTATCTTTGTTGCTATTTTTATCTTCTACATTTCGCTTGTTGATATTTTGTTACTTTTCCTTCAATGTTTTGACTATTTGACGTTTTTCTTTGCGATATTTTCCGTCAATTTGAATGAAACCATGTCAGTTATTGTTTTGCTGATGTTTTTCTGCTTCGCTTGTTTAAAAAGTGAATTCACATTCAACCGAATAGAAAACACCGTCACCGTGTTGTGTTCACAATCGTGATGATAGTCTTTCAACACTTTTTAATGCGTGCCATTTCGTATTCTATATATGTATTCAAATTATTCGAAAGTGAACTCTCGAAAGTGAAAATTGATATTTAAAAGCACTATCGTATACATGCGAACAAAGATGAAAGTTTAAATGTTCTTTTTGAATTCATGACAGATTCGAGCTATGCATTGATCAAACGAAAAATCAGCGGCAGAGAGAAAATAATCTACCATAAAAAAACCAACACTCAGGTAGTTTATTGCATGGTAGTTGCTCGTTTGTATCCATGGTTAAATATGAGGACAAAAATAAAGTTGTTGAAGCTACTTTTGTCGTATATAACAAATGCATGTACCATATGACAGAATGTTTCTACATAATTTTTCCACAGTTCAGATCAGAAATTAAACCACATTGTTCTTTATTCTTCCTTAGATATATTCTAGTGTCAAAAGTCGAAAGCAACACAATGGATATCCCAATAGACTTATGTCGAAACGTTCAAGTAAGATTACCCAGATCGACGTCGGATTCATTCGAAGCTACAGAAATAGGCAATGAATTGTACAAACTGAATCTTCATATTGTTTCCATTGTTTTTCTACTCATTGTCTCTCTTCTTGGTGCTTCAATCGCCATACTTCCAATCTGTATCAAACGTTTACATATACCATCAATAGTTATTAATACAGAAAAATCTTTTGGCACCGGGTATATATTCGAAGCTTTTGAAACACGTATTCACTAAAATGTTCTCTTGTTCTTTTCTAGAATAATACTTGCTACCGCATTTATTCATATTCTGCCAGCAGCTATGAGGATATTGATAGATGAATGTCTGCCACAAAGTTGGAAAGATTATGAAGCTTATGCAAGTTTATTTGCCATGCAACTCATCGAATTCATTGCACATCATCAATTACACAGAGTAACAGTACAAGAGACAAAAATCGTCGTTGAAGAGGTTCCAGTACAATCTACTACAATACCTATTGAAAGCAATCAACAACATGGTCATAGTCATGATTTATCACTACTACAAGATACTCATAATCATCGTGCCACTACGTATTTACTTGAGTTTGGCTTTGCGATACATTCGGTTCTTATTGGTGTAACGTTGGGCACAGATGATGGTTCAAGTTTTGTAGCACTTTTTATTGCACTTTGTTTTCGTCAATTCTTTGAAGCCGTTGCACTTGGTGCACAACTTCAAGATAAATCAATATTACCAACTATTCTTATGGTGATATTTTTCTCTCTTACTACTCTAGTTGGTATTGCGATCGGTATTGGTTTTCATTTGAATACATACAATCCAAAATCAGAAGCTTCATTAGTGTCGACTGGTGTCCTTAATTAGGTGACAGACGATATTTTGATCTATGTCGCTTTGGTTAATTTGATGGCCGGCGAAATGGGTGTCGGAGCACATGGATTTTTGCATTGAAAAAACGTGTGAAATTTTTATATTTTGTTGCTTTGTATCTTGGTGCAGCGTTGAAGGCTATTCTAGGACGATGGACATAGAAGAAATGTTTTCGAAATTTTCTGTTAGAAATTTGTAGTTAATTTTTATTCTTTAAATAAATAACTGTCAAAGAATAATTTAGATCTATAGCACAGAACATACGGCTAACAAGAAAACAATTATTTCAAGCGTGAGATGCATCTACAAGTATGATTACCGATCTTTTACTCTTTGTGTTCATACCATTAGTGAGTTTGAGTAATAATTTAATATAGCAAGCATCGTTTTACTGTATTCTGTACATAATATTACACGCCCCTCCCCCTCCCGTTTATAAGTGAAATATATTTTAAAGAGCTGTGTTCGTTTCTGTTCTGCATACATTAAATGTACACGTAAAAATAAAAATTCTTTCTGATTGGCCAATTTAAGTTGTTTCTTGGAATCTGTCAATCAATCAATGATATACGATCGTCTTTACACTTGTGACTGTGATGGCAAATTCATGCAAGTAATTGACTTTTTTAAAATAGAGTTTAGAAACAAATCATGACAATAAATATGATACAAAATGCTGCTTTTGAGAATCTAAAATAAAGTCGAGCTATCACTTATTCGCATTGCTTGTGAAACAACAACCTTTTTAATCACCCTTGGTTTTTTTCTCTTTTTGAAAAAGTCGAACTTTTTCTTCATACTATTTTTGTAAAGTGTTTAGCAGCCATTATGAAAAATATGAAAGAAATAATGTTGACGGTGAAAGAAAAGAAAATTCTGTAACAGTTTCATGTATGAGAGAAGAAAACAGACAGCCAACTGAGATTGATGCTGATCGTAACTATGGTGTTTCATGTAATGATTTGGACTTCTGCTAGTCATTGAAAATAGTCTAGATGAACTTCTTTTCTAGCCATTGCGTTGGCATAATCGATATTAGATAGCAGTCTGAAAAAATAAGATCATTTACTTTCTATCGATTTTTTTCTGCTCATGGTCTGTATTGTCTGGCTAAAAATCTAGTGCCTAAACATAGTCTTCAGTTCTGAAGACAATGATCTTGTTGCCATTGTTTCTTTTTCAATATGATATTGTGAGGAGTTTTTTTTTGTTTTCTCTTAAACTCAAATGGCATGCAGCTAAAACTAAAGAAACATAAAGATATCAAGCCTTTTTGTTTTCTTTTGTATAAAGTACAGTTGGTGGCATTTGAAAAAAAAATGCAATCAGAATAACTGAATAATATTTTACAACGTATAAGAAGAGCCTTTTGAAATCCATTTACATTTCTTCAAAAAATGAATGTAAAAAACAAAAAATGAATAGAATTCATCTGAATGCTTGTAAAACAAAATTTAAAAACTGAACTAAACGAATCCAACACAGAAACTAACTGGCTATTGCTTTTAAAGATAACACTGCATGTAGGATTTTGAGCGTCGTTTAGAAAAATAAAATGAAAATCATTGATATTTTTTATTTAAATATGCATATACAAACTTCGTCCACCTGTATATCTTTGGCATTGGAAAGAACTATTGTACAATTTCTAAAGTCTATCAACTCAATATTGGATTCTTTACTCTATCATCTAACTGTCTTGTTCTCTACATCTTTTGGAACGAATATTGTATGGAACGCTAGCTACTCTTTAGCTATGAAAAAGAAATCAAAATCTTTCTATAACGCAATGCCAATGAGGAGGATTGTGAAGGCAAAGAGTTACGACCATGTCTTTTCTCTATTTCGTCAAGTGTTTTAAATTATTTTTCTTTCGTTTCACTGTATATTTCAATTCTCTGGTGGCATCTCCGTCATTCTTAGAAATCAAAGCTGAACGCTACTATTTACTAATGTACATATAGATTCAATTTAGTCTTGATTATCTTCTGGCAATCTTAGTTCTTTTCTACGAAAATGACATTGAGAAATAAATAGAATTCAGCTGGAACATATACGAACATTGCTCAAGGAGAACTTGGTAAAAACCACAAGAAAATACTGAGTATTAGAGAATATTAGAGAGATTCTAATTGAAAAGCTAGTACCATCTAACACGAGTCTACAATCAAGTAGGGATTTGGGATATAATTACTAGATATCAATACCTCTTTATTTTTGACATAATGAATAACAAATGATCTGATGTTAAAGAAGGTTGTTAAGTGAGAAAAAAGTAAAATCAACAGTACTGACTCTATTGAACCACTTCGGATAACAATTGTCAATCTATTGTTCAGTGCAAAAGTATTTGTTTGATTTCTTAATCAAGTCAAATTTTTATTTTCTTTTTTCTTCACAGAAAAGCATCGAATGGATATACTACTCGGCCAGTTCGTATTTAGCATTTAAGTGGCTGATGTATTATTCATCATCACAGTTAATATCTGATGATTTTGTACAATGAACATAACTTTAGAATTTAACCGACACACCAATCGATCATCGAGTCATTGTTTAGCATGTCTATATACGTATATATCGTTGGTAAAACGAAAACATATTTCTTTTGATGAATCATGCGTTTCGTTTTCGACTGTAACAACATAATAGTCGTCGTTCGTATCATATCGTCTGCTCGTAAGGTACTTCAACACGATTTCGTACCTTTTTTTTTAACTCTAATAGAGTTTTCGTTTTGATAAAAGAAAGATGAAAGACTCGATCATCAGGCTCAATTGTGCATCCAAATCTGCATGAAACTTCAATGAACATAACATATTGCATATGTCAACTTCCGAAATATGACATTATTTAAGAAAATATTTCTGACTCTGTCTGATGCTGTTACCAAGGTATCTGTGTCATTAGTTCACATAGATTTGATGTTCGACTTGAAGCCTACACTGCATGCATGATTTTGATCAACGTGTGATTATCGAACAAAGTAATAAATCACCGAACTTGCATCTTTCGTCCAGTGTTTCATATAGACAAATCAAAGATTTTAAGCGACCGAACTCATTACATCCGTCTACGAAGACAAGAAAAAAGTGATACAGCTCGAAAATGGTTTCCAAACCATTGAACATTTCAATCAGAGATCCATTGATTAATTTCAGCTTATATCTTTTCTCTGATCCAACAGAGCTCACATTATATTAGTTTCTAATGTAGTATCTACAATAAGCTTATTCATAAAAACTGACATACGAAACAACATTTATGAGCGATACACTTGTCCTGTATGATTAAAACAGCACAGATCTTCGTTCTTTTCTTAAGGCTGAACAAAAAGGAGCAACCTAAGACGACAGAGAGAATGATTGATATTTACTGAGGCAGTCATCTAGCGACGCAGACTATCATTACAAGTGCCAAGCACATGAAACGATGAATTCCATGTAGGCAAAGTAAAGTGCAATATGTGCTAGAATTTTTAGACTTGTACAATAATGGTGCTAGAAATTCCAGCGTGAAACACTGTTGGTTAATAGTATATTTCTTAACTGAAGCTAACATTAGTAGTTCAATGCAATATTTGTTCATGATTGTCTATTGAATGAAAACGTTTTTGATATGCTATCATCAAGAAAAAGAATCAGTTCGGTCAATTGAAACTGAGTGAAAATATTCATCAATTTTATTATCCTAACGATGTATATGGATTACCCATTGAATACAGATACGTTTGAAAGAGTACATCTAGTCACGAACTACGTGTACAATTGCTGTCTTATTGCTTAGTCTTGTGAATTTTTATCAACTCTCAAATTCGATCATAAAACAAAATGGTTTTAACCTGAGGATTGTACTTGACGCTACTCATTTGAACATATACAAATTAACATATAAATCGACTGAAATGTCAATACTGCTTTTATCAATGTTCGATTCGATTGTTCAATATGACTTTCGTCTGTTCAGGATCAGATAGGCCAGTCCTTATTTTGAGCAAAATGATTAAGTATATCTTGTCGAATAGTTAGGGAAATATCTCATATGACAGAGAATCAGTGAAAAAATCTTTCTTTATGGAAATAACTGATCAGTTTATCAACATTTTTCTATAACAAACCAACTGTTCAGACCATTTCCGACAAAACTAGTGTCGTGCTTCTTTGACTTGCATTTTGGCAGGGTATAGAATAAGAGAAGATATCGATCAACACACAATCACATCCTATTTTAGGTGCTTTATCTGTAGCAAAATGTCATGCATACCATTTGTACCCTCTTTAAGATCTAGAAATGGCCAAAAAAAAGAGAAGCAAGTGCTGTTAAAATACATTATGTCGTTGTATACGTAAGTGGTCGCTAATTTACGGAAAAAAATTCGAAATCAGAGATAAAAGAGCGTGATTCGACAGATCTCTAGAATACGCAATATAGACTAAAAAAACGAGATATGGAAGATGTAACTGCTATTCTATGTTAACGATCATCTTTTACGTCAACCAATCAATTAAACCTTCATGCAACTATGTCGCTGTGTAATAAAGCAGTTTTTTTTATTATGGACTGAATGTGTTTAAAAGGATTCGATTCGATTCGATTTAACCAATGTAATATTCGACTCCTTTTCGGTCTCTAATCTTAATCAAATATCATTAAAAAAAAGTATATTATCAAATAGACGATTTTCATATAAAAATGACAAATACTCCTGTTCATTTTTATCATTGTGATAAACCATTTGGAGAATTTAGTAATTTTTATTCTGCTCCAATTGAATTAGATGGACATACTTGGCCAACTACTGAACATTATTTTCAAGCACAAAAATACATTTCAGATGAAACACATTATAATAATGTCTTAAAGTTAGCTACTCCTCGAGAAGCATTTAACTATGTTCGAACTTATAAATCTGCAGTACGCTCTGATTGGGCAAATGTAAAAGATGATGTAATGTTTAAAGCATGTTTAGCAAAATTTGAACAACATCCAAAACT